CACGCAAGCCTTCGTCCCACGGAATCCTGATCGTGGTCTGACCCAAATGCCCGGGAGTGTTCTGACAGCCTCCGTCCACGTTGCCCCCATGTCACACGACTCGCACACATTCCGGGCATTCACACAATAAACAATCATGAGAATCTGTCCATTCTCCCATTCGGTGATGCGGGATCAAGGCATTACACAAAAAAAAATGCCCACTGGGAACACCCAGTTGTTGCCTTTGTCCGTCGAGTAAGTGATCACGGAGAAAGGGTGATTTTTCCCATTCGCCGCCACCAGGGGAAACACAAGCGTGCCATTCAGCATCAAAATGCCTGAGCCACCAGCAGTAAAAAGTTCCCTCAGGTGATCTTGATTGTGTTTGGGCATCTGTTGTGAAAGGAACTTGGGTTCAGCCCAGCTGATCATTGTACTCTGCACGCTGTCCGTGGACTGCGTGGCCACACCCTCAACCAGTTGAATATCCCATCCATCTCCTAAATATCATCACCATTGCCATATCCTACAGTATCGATTCCCACAAGCAGAAACACCTTACTGTCCCTCGCAACTGCTGTGGACCGGTGCAAAACGCGCAAACGATTATCGCCATTCCTACTGCCAAGGGTGGTGTGTGCCCTCCACTCCTTCTTGGTGATCCCAGCAACAATGGACGGCCACGTCTCCGCAGCCTTGATGTACCCGGCCACAATGTCGGGAAATCGAACCACAAACAATTTGTTTTCATGGGCGTTATACTCAAACAAGCCTTCAGCAATGGCAACCATCACCCCACCAGCACGGAAGAGAGGGTGAAACAAATGCTTTCTTCACTTCAAATAACCCAGTCACATCCCTTGACACCACTGGCATCATATTCGGCACAAAAACGTCGATCTTCTGCGGCAGTTGCACTTCCCCTGCCTTACTCCCCACAGCGGTCGCAGCTCCACTACCGCAGCACATCATCGCAACGATGAAAAGCGCGGCGGAAGTGACGCCGGGACATGTTGGGCCTCCGCGGCCCACTCTCTCCTCCTTCCCTCCTCCTTCCGCTGGATCCGGTCACGCGGCGACGGTTGTGTGTGCGGGGTGCCTTCACTGCAGCAACACGTGAGAGAATACAAATATGTGTGTGGGCGGTGTGTGTGCTGTTGGTCCTTTCAGAGCCTTACAATTTCACAGTGGCGATTAGCGCTTGTTTGCTTGCTTTCCTAGCGTGTCCATGTGTGCGTAAGTAGAGAAAAAATAACAACAACAGTGGTAATTAAAGAGAATGCGTTAAAGAAAAAGTGCACATTCAAACGTCCATTTCAAAACCCATGTTCTTTTAATGAGTACTTCAGGCAGACAAATGCCTTTTACCTTTTTCCCTCAGAATGGGCCAATATCCTCCCACGTTGCGACGCTAAACTTGTTTTGCTTGCGTTTCTTTTTCTTTCCCCATTTTTGTTTTCAATATATTGACTTTTTCGTTCCCCATCGTTTGTTCGTGTGAAATGCGGTGAAGGAAACACAAAAAAAAAAAATAAATAAATAAATAAATGAAAAACTAAGTAAATCATTTTATCAATACGTCTTCTTCCCTGGTGCCTGCGTCCCCACCTAGCCCCTACCTTGAGATGCTTGACATATATTGCACGTAAGGAGCTCCATAAATGAGGGGTCGCCACGCCATTCCTCGACGGGAGATCCAATGTATCCCAGGTGACCTCCGTAAGGGAGTTCAAGAAAAGCAACAAGGCTGTTGGCAGTAACCAACTCTCTCATTTCCTTCCTTGGCGGTTCACCAGTGACGGGGTCGTCGCGAGCTATCACACATAGAGTAGGAATGGTACATTGTCTAAGAGATGTCAGTGTGTTTACCGCTGCGTAGTACTCCTCGGGATTGGAGAAGCCATTGTGTGGCGCTGTGATGTGGGCATCAAACTCATTTATTGTCCTCAGCCGTTTTAGAAAACGAAGAGGGTCTTTACGTATACCGTCGTCATTGACTCCTGGTAGTTGCTTGAGCATATCTTTATGCCGAATGGCATAACGAATAAGACCCCCAAACAGATTTTTCTGGTAAAGAGCATTTTCCGGTTGCATTATATTGGCGCTTACAGCCAATGTATCCAGTGGGCTATTAATAATGAGAGCTGCATCAAAAGGAAATTCTTTCGTCATATTCTGTCCTTCTTCATGCAAGTACTTTGCCAGGACGACCCCGCCCAAACTGAAGCCAACACCCCATACATTTTGAGCTGTCGCACCAAACCTCAAAGATAGCGCCGTTCTTGAAAGCTCCGTGCGAGTAACCCATCGGAGGTCACCAGTCCATGATGCAGACATGAGTCGCGGCCGGGTCAACGGGGTGTCACCCATCCCCCGTGCGTTAAAAACACAGCAGTGAAATCCTCTATCATGAGCATGCCAAACGTAATGCTGAACATAGTTGGTCTGAGACCAAGACGCCAGGCCAGGGAAAATGATCATGATGCCATTTGCTGGGCTATTTTTTTCCTCTGCAAGAAACCAGTCAAGACAGATGGGATTACCATCAACACTATCAACGACTTGTCGTGTGTATTTAATCGGTTTTGGTGGCCGAAAGGCACAAAGGAGAGTGCTTATATGTCCATTGTATGGAGGAGACGTGTAGGTGAAATCAGCAAAACTCTCAAAAGAAAAAAAGCATCGTGTATTTGTTCCAGCAGATAAAAAATCAATCCTTTCCTCGATCTTTTCCGTCCTTTTTTCTTCAGTCATTATTTTGAAAGCCCGCCGAAGGCGTGGAATGTCAATATAAATCACGTGCACAATAACGTGTAAAACCCAAAAAGAGGCCCTTGCAAAAATTAAAAACATTTGGAGTTGGAAGGAAAAGGGAAAAAAGGGAATAAAGAGGAAAAACGAAAAAAAAAAAAAACTAAAAAGGAAAAAAAAAAGGAAAAAAAAAAAAAAGAGAAACAATAAATAAATGAAGCAGCAACAACGACAACGGCATCGTCCAAAAGAAAGAAAGAAGGGGGGAAAAAAAGGTGGAGAGGAGGGGCAAAAAAAAAAAATAAACGGAGCGAAACAAAAAAAAAAAAAAAAAAGAAGACGTTCTTCAAACCAACAGAGTGGAAACAATTCCGTAGTTTTCGCCTTCGTTCTTGTTGTTGTTGTTGATGTGTTTTTTCGTCCCTTTCTCATATTCTCTAAGCGTAGTGTGTTTTGCTCCCATTGGAAAACAAAAGAACATCACGCACCTTTTTAAGTTCCTCGATGGTGCGAGCGTGGGTCTCGGCCGCGTGCCCGGCGTCGTTGGACATCGCGTCGGATGACGGCATCCACAGCAACTCCAGTCGTGCAATAATGGACGCCAAGATGGTGCCTTGTTGATTCATGACCTCGATTGGGGAAAGTAGGGCGGACGATGTGGCGAGTGCCGATGTCTCCTCCATCGGCGGAGGTGTTTTTGATCCAAATAACTCATGACGTTCTGGAGGAGTAAAATAACGGCCAATCCCATTCTTTTTCGGGTCTTGTTGCATGATTGTCATTTCCACCAACGTGCCCACATCCTCCACTGGTGGATACTTCATCAGACGCTTCAGGGCGTCGATACACCCCACCATGAGATCTTGCTTCACATAGAACAACATGGATGCTGCAAGCATCGTTACGATACTGTTGTTCAGACTATAATCATCGTGTCTTGCAAGAAAGCGTTCCGATAAAAATACATCCCACAAGTCCGCACATTGGGGAATGGAAAACTCCCGAAGGTAAAGAAGACGTAACCAACGTATTAGATACGACGTGCCTTCAATCTCATACACCACATTCATCTGATGGTGCAACACGGGGTCAAATTCTGCCAGTAATTCCCTCTGTGTCCTGTGGGACGCCGTGGCAATGCCGTCTCGTGCATACTCCTCACTGCTGTGGTACCATTCGTACAAACGCAGCCCAGACCCACCCATAACGTTCTCAAACAGTGAAAATGTCATCGCCATCACACCGTTTATGGGACATATGCGGCCAAATCCATCAATCAGCGCCTTATCCGCCTCCTCAGGGCTCTTTGAAATTTCCTCCAAAAGGGCGCTGTCGGTGTGATTCAGGTAAAAAATAAATGCTGCGATCTCATGCATGCCCTGCTTGTACTCATAGTCATGCCGAAGGCAGTAATTGACAATAAGATCCATCAGGGCTTTTCTTGTCGTGGACTTCTCAAACAACGGAAAATCCCAGTGAAGTCGATCCAAATCTTTCTGTGCGGTGGCGCGTATCGTATCCACGCAATACCGAAGAGCGTACAAACTCCCCACCCCCGGAAGAAGTGGATTCTCCACCGTCCTACTTTCCCCGTCATCAGGGCAGGAGGAGGACGAGGAAAAGGAGGAGAACTCATCTTTACTGACAAGCCCCTTTTTCTCCACAGGTCGCACAGCAGAATCGGTAGCCACGAGACGTTGCTGCAAATTGTCGTTCATTTCATTCCAGTCGCGTATTCCAGCGCGGGTGCATTCCTCCCATTCATGGAAGTGCCTTCCAGCCTCCACATTCACCGGAAGAAGTCCCAGCAACAACCGCCAGCGAAGACTGTGAAAGGCATGAAAGGGACGATGCCGCGCAAAGTCCAAAACACGTCGAAGCAATGCCTCTTCCAAACGGCCCTCTTGCGCCGAGTGATGAATGTTACGGAGCTCCTCCATAATAACGCCCGCAATGCAATCCTGAGAAAAAAAAAGCCACAACGCATAATAAAGGAATAAAAAGAAAAAGAAAAAAAAATGGAGAATAAATTTACAACGCTTGCAGGGACATTAAGGTATAATTATTATTATTATTATCACATCCCTGGGAATGGAATAACGTTTTTTTGTTTTTTGTTTGTTTTTTTGTTTCTTTGGTTTCTTCAGGGTATCCAATGGCATCTAACCCGTTATCACTGACACATCTAACAATACTCATTAACAACGCAACAACACCCTCACCTCAACCAAACCACTCACGTGAGTAACGGCGTTCTTCTAGCACGCATCGTAGCGGGTTTAAACCACTCTGGTTTCTCACTTCCCTGCAAGCAAAGAGGTGACATCACCTTCGTCCCATTCTTCCTTAAAACACTATCACAAGAACCGCAAAGTGCCTTTGGTGCGGCTGATCTCAACCGCTCCACTGAAGAAGAGGAAAAACTCCATGCCTTGGGGGTTGGCCTCACTCCGTGACCTCTCTCGTGCGTGACCGACCCATACAACTGTTGTCTTCTTCGCTGCAGAAAAAGTGCGTTGCCATAGAGTCGCTCAAATACACTTACGCCCTCCGTCCAGCGGAAAAGAAGCGCCTCATGCGTGTGGTTGACAGCAGGTATAAAGGTGCAGTTGATATCGTCACTGTCATCTTCTTCCACATGGAGAGGCGCCTGGCACGTGCATCTCCTCCGTTGCGACAAGAGAAATAAACGTTCATGAACGTCTTTTTGTGTGTTCACCCTCCGTGTGCCACTCCTGCCGCGGATCCGCTCACCGCAGTTACCCTCCGAGGCATAGCACGATGAACAGCGCACCATCCCCTTCACTCCAGACAGTAAAAGAATCAACAAAGCAGCAGCAGCAGCAGTACAAAAAAAAAAAAAAAGCAAACAATGAGGGGTACTGTTGCTCTAAATAAACAAGCACAGGCAATAAAGAAAAGTCTCAAACAAAATAAATCAGCACATCGATACCAACACCATTTCATTCTGTGTGATCCTCCTCGTCTTCCACATCAATCTCCTCACACTGAGTCTCCTTCTCAATTGTCATGTTATGGTCATCCATGACCTCCCGCTGGGAAACCACAGAGACCACATTACTGGAACTGTTATAAACGCCAAAATATTTTTCATCCTCCTCAAGTCGCTTCAAATCTTCTCTAAAATCCTCCTGGCAGCGTGCCAGTTCCTTCTCACGGCTCTCTAGTGAGCGATTCCACTCCGAGATGGTTTCATGCTTCTTTTCTAGTGCCCGCTTCCGTTCCTCAATCTCGCTCTCGAGCGTTTTGAGCTCTCGCATCGCCTTTTCCAGGCTCTGCTCCGCGTTGAACTGCTGAAGTTCGCGACGCTCCATTGCCCGCTCATCCCTCTCAAACCGGCTTTGTCGCTCCGCAAGAAGCTCCAGCTCCCGCGTCTCCTCACAGAGACGCTCATTCACCCACGAGAGTCGCTCCTCCAATTGCCGCTCCTCCTTTTCCAGCACAGACCCCGTGCGGCTCACCAACTGCGAGAATTTCGTCTGGTCACACTGAAGCGTCAGGTGGCTCTTTCGAGCCGCGCTGATCTGTGAGCGGCACTCCTGATGGTCGATCTCAAGACACCGCCGCTCGTCCGCAATCGTACTCTGAATCTGATCGAGTAGCAAGACACGTTCACGAATAGCCGCCTCCTCGCGCAGGTAATACTTCTCTATTTCCTTTTCCAATAACAGTGAACAGTCCAACAGCTTTACGTAACCACGCTCAATAGCAGCGGCGCTCTGCACTGCTCGCTGATCGCCAGTCATTGATTCTCCCTCTCTCACTCACGTGTGTGTGTGTGTGCGTGTGTGTGATATTAAGATAATTGTGGAAATGCGGTAGAGTGTTATTGGCTATGCACCAAAAAGACAACATAAAGGCAAATTAAAGAGTGGCATTGACACAAACATAAAAAGAATAAAAAGGCAGCAGCATCCCTCCTCCTTCCTTTTCCAAGTTGCAGCTCGGTGCAGTAAAAAAAAAAAAAACAAAACAAAACAAAAGGTTAAAGGAGGCATTCCGCGCCTTGCACAAGAATAGTCAGCAGCGCATAGTTGCAAATGTAAAGATGGGGTTCATAGACGCTTCCTGCAGTACACGTTCGGCACTTTTATGAACCTCTAGTCCGGTCCGCAATGCGTTTCGCAGCTCGGGTGTCATTCTAAAGACGCGCGGCACCCGTGAGGATGTGGAAGGGGACGCTAACCCTGTTTTTCCTGTCGACGGACGGCTGTCCAGAAGTGCTTTTGCGTCATCCTCTTCGTATTCGTCATGTGCATGCGCAACAGCGCCGTGAAATAGCGCCTCACCCTCTTCCAGGTACCTGGCAATGGCCTGCAACCTATGCCGCATCTCCACGGCCATTCCTAAAGGTGTCTAATAAGGATTCCCCTTTCGGAGTCTAAGAAGGGCAGAAAAACAAGAGGCAATTATCACCTCCAGCAAATTAAAGTACAGTGACACGCAACCACAACAACAAAAATAATTTTACATGCATGCCTCGGCAAAGCAAAAAACAAAAGTAAATAAATACGAGCATCCGCTTATCGTCATATATATATATATATATACATATATATGTATATGAATGTATATATGAATGTGACACGGCCAGCAGATGCCCATCGTAAACGGAGCGCCATGACGAGTGGGGACGACCGTCCCTTAACGTGTAAAAATAATTTTGAGCGATTTCTTTTCTTTGTCTCCCTTCTTCCCTCCTTTGGCTTTTTATTCGTTTCTCTTTAATGTAATTTCTTCTTCTTTTAACTCAACAGAAGAGATCAAAATAAAAACAGTAGCACTCCGTCAATCAACCTTCATTTGATGAAATCCAAGTTCCTCATCCTGTTCAAAGGTCCTCACGTAGGATGTCTTGGTGAGCCGGGGGTCTTCGTGCTCCGGCGGTGGCAAGTGCTCACGCGGGTTCTGCACGTAAATATTCGCCAATGGATCGTCGAGGATAAATGTGAAGGGTCTCTTCACATGCAGCAGATCGTCAAGCTCCCCCACAAACTCCATCAACTTCTTCGACGATGCATCCGTCTCGGCGGAGTCTCCCTTTCCAAACTCTGCCTGTGGCAAGTCGCGAAGCTGGTCTCGCACCATCATAATGGTCCCTTCCACAGTGGAGAAGAAACCCCCAAGCGTGCCCGGTAAGACCTCCAGCGAAACCTCAGGAATATTCAACGTCGCAGTCTCAGACTTGAGAACATCACGCTTGAGGTCGTCCTCGGATTCAACACGCAGCTCAATCTTAAGGCCGGTATCGGAAACCTTCCCCCCGGACTTCACCTCGTTACTCTTATAACCACAGAAGTCACAACGAAATGCCATAATAACCGTTTCTTTGAAGTAAGGTATGTCAACTTGTTGCATATTGATAAACCCCTGTTGTTTACATGCGGGGCACGCGGTTTCCATACGCACCATGTCATCAAACTGTCCCTCTTGCACCTCACGCTGTTCTTGCTCAGTTCTCTGTGTGTTATACTCAATGGTGAGCCCTAATAACTGTCGGTCCACATCCGTCCGCTCCTTTTCGTAGCGAGTAAGCTGGGGATCAATTGTAGGGTGGTAATAGTCATAGTATGCCTCAATATAGCTATTACCGGAGGGATCATCAATGGTGAATGTAAAGGGAGCGTTCCCCGTCCGGAACTCCTGAAGCTTTTGACAGAATGCCTCCAGCTTTTCGTATAACTCCGGTTCATGTATGCGCCGCATCGGCTGCTGCAACTGAAGCCCGGCCTCAGTTTGCTCCAAAAAGCCCTCAACCGTATTGAGAATACCTCGTTGAGACCCCGGTGGAATCTCCAGCTCCAGCTGTGGGATACGCACCGTCGCAAAGTCCGATTTTACAACTTGACGATCCAAGTCCTTCTTTGTTTTCACCTCAAGTTCATAACGAATCGCCTTTGGACCAAAGACGCCACCAAACGACACATCATTGTTCCTCTCACCACAGTGAAGGCACTCAAAGCTGCTCACAATGACTTCCTTAAAGTGTGGTATATTTGTGATCATCAGACGCGTCGTGCCATTCTCGCCGCATCGGGGGCACATTGACTCAACCGTGTTCATTTCACCAAATTCGGTCTTGATATAATTCGCTGCAACGTTTGCATCCGGACCCTCATCCTTCACAGGCATCGGTTGATACTGCTGCTGCTCCTGCTGCTTTACCACCCCTGGTGAATTCGGCATTGCTCAAGCGCGGAGGATTCCCTAATAAAAATAAAAATAATAAATTCCAAAAATAAAAAATAAAATAAAATAATTTTCAATTCACACAACACACTCAATTAAGTGAAAAAAAAAAAAAAAACATAAGGAATGATCGATCCCGCTTTGACAACTCCTGTTCAAAGAAATTCATTGTAGAAAAGGAATAAATAAAGGCAATCGTAATATATCGTAAGAAACTCCCTATTTTAGAGGCAGTGCGAGTATGCTCTCCCGCAAACCAAAATAAAATACAATGCACCACCCCCCAATGTCTCTTAGCTTCTCCTCTATTGCTGACGTCCCTATAGGAGAATAAAAAGGGTTGAAGGAATTCCACAGAATTATTCCTTAAGCTCATAATATTATTATCTCTGTTATGATTCATCCCTTTGTAAACATTCACATAGTTATTGGACGGACATGCTCGTATGCACAAATATATAAATAAATATATATATACGCTTGTAATATTTTTTATAAAGCGGTTGCACACGCACGTTTCTCTCCGCAGACTCTCACTTTTACCCCGTCAAGGTATAAGTGCCGTTAATACGCGTCCGTGCACGATACGACGGACAGACGGTCCACATGCGGATTGCATGAAGTTCAATGGAGTGGCATACTTCAGCTGTTTGGTGCTCACACTGGATATGATGCACCGTTCCGCCAGGGGTGGCAATATCCACAGTAAAGTCATTGGACACAATAACATTCGTCGTGAAGCCGTCTATGGCGTCGGGTTTAATCCCCAACTTCTTCCGCATGAGATTAATTCCGGGACTACTAAATGCAACGCCAGGAAGTTGTTTGCGAGCCGCCACAATTTGTGCCACGACACCTCCGAGAGAGTGGCCTGTCAAAATGATATGTTTTGAGGTGACTCCGCCCAAGTACTCCTCCACGTGGAGGTGGTAGTAGTCTTCCGCTGGCCCGCCGAGAAGCGCAGAGCTGATCGCACTCGATGCTGCCACGTAGTCGGCAATGACACGCTCAGGGATAAGACCGCTCAGTGGTAGAAAACTTGCAACCAATTTAAAAAAAAACGTTTCACTAAAAAGCAGAAGGTTCTGTAGGAAATCAAACGGTGAGGTGACGTCTGTCCCCCGCACGGCAATCACAGAAGTGTTCTTGGACGGCGAATAGATATGACGAAACACAGCCCGGCCATAAGTGTGGTTTGTTGGGATGTCCACCCAGTCCGAGGCACCATCGCGGTAGCGCCGGTAAAAGTTAAGCATCGTACGAAAATCAGCAGAGTCCCGCTGCAAATAGGCCATAAGGGAGAAGTACGCAAGGTCCGCCGCGTACAAATCGTCAGCCCACCGGCGAGAACAAAGCCCGGAATGCCAGTTTAAATCATATTTTGACTGGTCCTCCTCGTACACCAACTTCTTAGGATCCCTGTGGGCGGGAAGCGAGTAGATGTCGGCGACCATGTAGCGTGCCGTAACGCGAATACGCTCACCGGTGACGTCGCCTTCGCATCGTGTTGGCGTGACACCTTCAAAGCCGGGGTGCTTCACGCTGACCCAAAGAGCGAGGCTCAGCACGAGCGCAACGGCCGATGTCAAAGACAACCGATGAAAGGCGCGCAACAACACACCTGGACGGTGGCGGCGGCTGAGCGGAGCCCCTCTGCCGTCCTTACAGGAATTTTGAAGGCCTCTGATGGAGTTTGGCGACGTGGACTTCGTCGTCGTGGGGGTGGCGGGGGTGAGTGTGGATTCCCCGCCGCATTGCCCGGGGCTGTCTTCCTGCGGCGGTCGGTCATCATTCAGCCGGTGCCACCGCCTAACAACCGAGCTGAGAATCCCGCAGGCACACATCACTCGCACAATCACAAGCGTAGTAGAGAAGGCAGCAACAGATGAAATCACCAAAAGTGTCAGTAACAGCGCGTAAAAAAGAAGTCCACACCGCCGCTTCGGATCCCGCGCCGCTGCTGCCGTGAGGATCGCGAGATTGTACAAGAAAACCGTCAATCGGCTTGCCAACAGAAGAAAGACATGAAGCATGTTGACATAGAGCATCCCCTCACAGAACCGCGCAAACCCCCGACTGTAGCCCTTCTTCCGGGATAAATATGCACAGTAAAGAGCAAGAAGATACAAATAAGTACGCCGAAGCCGCGGCACCGCCTTCCGCCACCATCGCGTCATGGAAGGTCCCAAAGAGTCATACACGTTATGATGATAGCTCCATACAAGCATCGCCACCAGCGGAGGCATAGTAACAAGAAAGAAAAAGGAGATATCACCGCTTCGACGTTCCCAGTGTATAAGTGAGTCGCTGTTAAAAATGCCCACGAGAACTCCCGAAAGACAACAAAACCAAAAAAGCGCAACCAACCTTGCGTAGGGAAAAAGAAATAACGACTGATAGCCCTGAAGCAAACGATGAAAACCGACGGTGCACTGGGCTGTCTCATCATAAGTCACTAGACAGGAATCAATCATGGCATCTGTGACAACATTCATCAATTTATAACCGATAGCGACTATTCCAAGAAGGATGCTCATGTGTGACAATACAACACTCAACGCCCACACCCCGTCATGACCGAGTGGGGTATCCTTTACATCTCGCCATGTATACTTGCTCCAGTGATACTTCTCCCGTAGAACAGGAAAGACAAACTGGAAAAAAAGGTGTAAAATGCAGTTAACCAATATAGCCAAAATGGAAGCCAGTAAAGGGACGTAGTGATAAGTTGCAATCCACACAGCAAACCTTTTGAACTGAAAACGCTCCAAGAGAAAAAAACCCATCGCCGCCTGCCAAACCCTCGCTACGCCCCAGCGTGTTCCCTCAACCTCCTCAGTTGACATGTTTTGCAAAGATACATAAAAGAACTCTTGTAAATGTGATGGCCGCATTTTTGTCGAGGAAGTTGACATCAACACTTTTCGCCCTTTTTTGCACAAAAGAAGGGGAAAAAAAAAAAAAAGAAAAAAATGAAAAATAAAAGGCAACATCAATAAGAACCAAAATGGAAAAAAAAAGAATTCGTATTTTATTATTATTATTATTATTATTATTATTATTATTATTTTACTTTTTTTTTCTCTCTCTCTTTTTACCACAACAGTTTATATATACGGCTGTAAGCATGTCTGTAACGTGTAACACGCCATAAGTGGCAGAAAAACCGCTCAAGCTAATAATCCTACCACACGATAAACAACAAGAAGCAATGCAGATAAATATTTAACCTCTCAACCAAATTGCACCAGCCTATCCTATTCTATGACACCTCCGGCGATACTTGACTGTGATTGAAATACTCGATAAAGTAAACAGACAAAAAATATATATGCAATAGAGGGAAAGAAAAAAAGGCCGACCGACACAAAACGCACAGAAAATAAAATAAAATAAGCCGCCTTCCACATATATATATATATATATTTGGATGCATGCCTGAAATGAGCTCAGCCAGAAAAGAGTCTCCAGTAAGGGGTCGTGGTTATTCATACCCATTCATTGTTCTCGAGTTCCCTCTGAGGCATCCTGCACTTCCTGCACGTCCAAATCTTCGTCCATCTTCTCCGTCTTTATTTCCTCGGGCATGTCTTCTAAAGGTTCATTCGCCATGGCCATTTCCTCCTCCCCTTCGGGCACCAAAACATCCGAGCACTCTTGCTGCAGCGTGGCTATCAGCAGCTGCATGGCCTCCGCAAGCTCATCGTGGCCTTGATCCTCTTCTGGGAGCTGCAAAACGTTCGGGGAGGCACTTGCCGATGTAGCCGTCACTGCCGCCTCAAGAGTATCATGGTATCGAGTAAGAAACTCCCGCACCCGCTCGGCCGCCTTGGAACGCTCATCGACCATCTGCTGCTGCAGGGAGGACCGTTTTAACGCGTTAGCCCGAATTCTCTCCTGAGCGTCCTCCGCTGCGGCAGCGGTTTCAGCGATAGAGGCCGTCAACCGTCGTATCTCGTCCGCCTTGAGCTGAGCTTCTTTGAATCGCATTGCTTGCGCCGCATTCTTCTTTGCCAACTCAAGGAGCGGGATCTTATTACGCATCTCCGTCAGCTGCACCCCAAGAGACACGACAAGCGCTTCGCATGTTTCGTCATCCGCGTTGATGGCAGACAGCTGCTTTTCTAGTCGATTTATGTGCAAGACAGGCGATTCCTCCTCCTCCGCTACCCCCGCACATGCGTCGGCCTCAGACGATATCAGTGATGGTGAAGTAAACAAGACGCCGCGGCCCGCATTCCGCAGTCGTAAAAGCTCTACCACAGAGTTCGTGTACAGCTGTAGATTCGAAAGTGTCTCCGTCTCAAGTAACGTCCGGCGCTGCTCGTAGCTGTCAATTCTCGTCACGCCATCCTGCAGCTCCGACAGGAGCAACTCCCTCTTTGTGTCAAACTCAATCGTCTCGGCATGCAGCACGTCGCTCTCCTGCTGGAGTTGCTCAAGATCGGCGGCAGCGCGATGCATTCGATCCTCCTCCTCTTTGATGAGACTGTCAATGTCATTTTCCATCGACTCCTGTTTGGCCTCCATGCGTCTCAAATTTGACGTCACGTCCTGCAGTTCCGCCTCCTTTTCCGCACTTGCCTGACGAAGTTTTGCAAGTTTTGCCTCCAACGTCGCAATCTCGGCGTCAATGCCCATCTTTTCATTCAAAAGCTGCCCTTGTAATTCCCGCAGTCCTTCGTTCTGCTTCAACGTCTTCTCCCTCAAGCTTGTCTTGCGCTCCAAAAGACTTTTTTGCTCCCGCATTGCGCTCTTTTTCACACGCTCCGCCCGCTCCATAGCGGTACTCACCCTTCCTTTTCGAGTCTCCAGGCTGAATGTCACTTCTTCAATAAATTTCCTCACACGCCGATCTTCTTCGTCTTTGGAATCAATAAGCTCCTGTCGATGCTTCTGCAACAGCTTTGCAAGAGAACGCACCATCCCTACCGTCGCATCCCGCTGTTGGCCTAGAGACGTTAACAGCCGCACCGGTGCCTTGTCGAGCTCCTTCACATGTATCCTGAGCTGCTCTAAATCACCGCTAAGATGATCTGCCTCCTCAAACGCCTCCTGCGCCACACATTCCTCAATGCGATTCTCGAGTTTGCTTATGGTCGTCATACAATCACGACGCTGCTCAATAGATGTACGGATTTCGTCCAGCACATGTGAGAGATTCGCTCGGGCCAACAAGACTTCATCTTGCAATTCCCGAATTTCACGCCGTTGACGATCCCAGATGGTCTCCGATTCGCTCACATCGTCAGTTTCTTCGGTTTTAGCGCAACAACTACTTTTCTCGCCGCTGCGCCTGTGTTTCATGTTGCAAGGGACCTTGCCAGTGTTCTCCGTGGTGTCTTTTCCTTTTTTGTTGCCCTTTTTGCTTTCATCCAACTCCAAGACATTTCTGTAAACAGGAGGTCTTTCTGCTGCTTCGGTTTCCCTGTACTCTGCACTTTGTGCTACTTCCTCTTCCTTCTCTTCAGTGGCATGAAGGGGTGCCATCTGGGCGGCAGCAAAAGCCGGGGTTGACAAAAAATCAAAACTTGAAGACGGCCTTCCAATCCTCCTCGACGCAGCAGGGCCAAGTGCATTTTTTGGTTTACTCACACTGTCAAGAGGCGTATGATCCGCTTCTCTTGACATTTGCCGCGAAGGCACTTCTTCAGTTTCTCCGTGCATAAAGGGAAGTCCACCAGCCAAAGATGGTGCCTCAGCAGCGGCACCCTTTCGTTTCTCGTGGCTTTGGTTCTTCGCCGCGCTGGAAATAAAATCAAACGCCGACTCCGCCTCGCTCGCGGTGCCTGAAGGGATTCTGTTCTCCCCTTTTGGAAGGGAACTGGCCTTGAGTTCTCTGGGCTCCGGTCCGTAAATGGCGACCAGCCGCGTAAAAAGTTCCTCCTCCCTCCCCATAAATTTCTTTATGGTTCTCTCCACCTGCGACAACTTCGATGGCACGTACTCTTCGAAAAACCGCTCCAGTCGTTGGCGCATCTGCGTGACTTGCGGCGCCTCCACCTCGTCCCGCACAGCAGCCGGCGATAATTCAAAACGCATAAAAAATGGACTCGCCCCCGCTGAAGATTCCATCAGTGGATTGTATTCTTTCACTTGCTGTGCCGAAGGCAGGGACTCATCACGCGGTGTGCGTGACCCCGCAGTGGTCCCTGCCGACTTCCTGTGGCGTGTGCGCACAATTTCCATTCCACCAAAAAGACCTCTCGATGACGAAGCTTCCGCTGAGTTCTCTGCACCACTGCGCTGGTTTGTGCAATTTTTATTGCCATTTTTATCAACGCTGGGAGGCACAGCACTAGATGGCCCAACGTCGCGGCTGCCGTTATGGCTACTCACAGCGGATGGCAACCCCTCTTGCGGAGTGCTAGCAGACCAATTCCTTATTGGCATACTCTATATATATATTTATTTATTTATTTTTATGTATATACCTCTGTCGTTTTGTTTTCGTTATCAATTATACGTGTGCCTCCTTTTCCACTTTTCTCTAAGCGTAATGTAAATCCGTAACTGGAGACCGTTATTTGGCGGCAAAATTTTATTTTATTTTATTTTTTATTTAAAGAAGGAAATTAAAAAAAAAAGAATAAAATGACACTCGCTACGGCCCATTAAAACCACAACAACATGGCCGTGTAAGGAAACCCACTCCTATAAACCAAAAAATTACATGGCGGTACCACCCAATTTAAATATAATTCATTCCTTTCTTTTTCCTTTTCTCACCCCTTTCTCTCTCTTTATATATACGGTTACACACATACAGTTATATATATATATATATATATATATTTCCCTCTCCCATCACTCACTTTCAGACAAACACAAACCGCACATGAAGATATACAAGCTTACAATTTTGGAGCAGGATAATGGCTCACTTGTACAGGAGGTCGTAGTGCCCTGGACGGTACAACAGTGTCACCACAAGAGAAGTGTTGTCACCGGTACCGCTAGAGTCACCGGAAAATGAGTGGCGTGTGGTGCGTGTACCAACGCTACCGTCCAAGTACTCCACAACAATTTTCAACTGGAAGCATCTGGCAAATGCCACAACCTGCACATTATCGCTTTCGCTTGAGACCGCATCCACTTCGGCCCGACAGAAGTCTTCAACGTTTTCGTAATTAAGGCCCATCACAAACGGAAGAAAGTCATCTTTATGGCCACGTATGTAATTTGAAACAGCGTAGCGGTAGAAGTAAATCACGTACTCGGAATCATGCGAGGTCGCCAGTGCATACAGCTCCTCCGACGTCGTGCAGCCTCCAGACTCAATTTGGTGGATCACAGCAATCGCCGCTTCGCAGAAGTCCTCCACAAAATCACCGTAGTCCTCAATGAGCTTCGTGCGCAGTTCTGTGGCCTGTTCCAAGTACCTCGCCGTCAGCTCGCTATCGCCAAGCATACTTTCCAGCAGAGAAAATACAACGCAGCGGAAGAAACAGTTCCCATCCCGTCGTGCATACCGGATGCCACTGTAGCGGTCGTCATTGTCGGACGCAAAAAGCGAAAGTACTTTTGGCAAAATCGATGCACTATTGGCAAATTCCTTCACGAGACTACATGTCTCCGACAGCGCCTCCACGGGATCACTAAGAAGCGGTACCGACTCGATTTCGCTCTGAATGATCGCCATCTGCATCTCCCTGTCATGGGCGGTGGAAGTCATGGATGCTGCCTTGAAACGGTGCGAGAAGAGGCGGGGGGAACCACACAAACAAACAGACAAAAAAAAACTGGCAGACGGCCGATTCCATCCAACCGACAACAGGGCAAAGAGCAAAACATATATATATATATGGTCAAAAGTGAGGAAATAAAACCAAAACGCGGACAAATACACACACAATAATGATACAACTCTGGGCTAGGGGCCTTCTCCCCTCCCCTCCCCCTATTCCTGCAAAGGGTGAGATACGGCATAACATAACATAAAAAGAGAAAAAGAAAAACAGAGAGAGAGAGAGATGAGCCGTTGGTTCGCTGCACCCAACAAACACTCGCAACAGTAAACAAACAGACGCATAAAGAACAGCGTTTCGTAATACCCAAACTCGCTGCAAGCACACAATGTAGCAGCCTCATTAACGACCCCCCGCAACCGCCGGCCTCCCCTTCGCGTGGAGGGGCAATAGGAGAAGGGTGGGAAAGAAAGAAAAGAGAAAAAAAAAAGGGAACGCATGTCTTATATGCCTCTACTTGCTATAATCTCAACTGGCAAAAAAAAAAAAACACGAGTATCTAAGATACATAGAAATCGTGAGAAAAATCCAAAAATAGCGGCAATTCACTGCAAGCTCATTTACTTCCCCAGCGTGCTTTCTTTATATTTGTATTTCTTGGAAAGGTCGATTCCAACCTTTGAGAGCTCCAATGAATTGGCGCAGCAGAATCCACGTGACATGAGGTCAAGGGACTGGGCATCGTCAATATTGTGCACCACACCGCCTGCCTCACGAACAATGATGCTGGCGGCGGCAATGTCCCAGGCATAAATGCCCACCTCAAAGTACAGCTCTGCCCTCCCACTCGCAACAAAGCACATGTCAAGCGCCGCTGAACCGTGATTGCGGACTGCGTGAACAGGAATACAAGCCAGTTCCTTTTGAATGGAAATAAGGCTCTTCACCGCAGGCTCACTGCGATTAACAGCTTGATGCAACAGGACAACAGACTCTTCAAGACGGCGCTTCTCTGAAACATAAGTCCGTTGTCCGTTGCAGTACGCACCGCGGCCTCGAACAGCCGAGTACACTTCATGCATCCGCGGGGCGCTGACAACACCAAGGATCGGCTCCTTGTCAACGACCAGAGCAATGGACACGCAGCAGTCAAAAAGACCGTGAACAAAACTTGTGGTCCCGTCAATAGGGTCAACGACCCACGTGGGTTTATCGCTAAGACCCACGTCGCTGTAGGTTTCTTCGCTGAGTATATCATATTGCGGCGTCCCAGTTCGAAGAATTGTAAGAATCTCCTCTTCACACTGCTTGTCGTACTGCGTCACGAGGTCCACAGAATTCACTTTCGTGTTGATGTCCAAAAGTGTATTCTCACGCTCTGCCATCGCCTTTTCAATGATCGAGGCGGCGACATGCGCCGCACGCAGGGCCAATTCCACAGCGATGTCAAGTTCCGCATCACTAATAGCCATCGCCGACAGGTTTTCCTTTTTCGTTGAATCTTCTGTTCTTCGATTATTTGCCTACGCTCTCTATTCGTCAAAAATGCGTTGCCTTCTCTATTTAGATTCCACCCACACACCCAACTCCGTTCCCTTCTCTTTAAGTTACTAATAAATTACTAATCGTCTCTCGGGGTAAAAAGAATCCACACAAAAGTAAAAGGGAAACGGGTAGAAACAGAAACCATGCGTCGTTTGTACTGAGAAAAAGTATAGTGGGAAAGCTACACACGCATGTCTATAATGTTATTTGCAGAAACGCAATGATGCGTTGCAGAATAAGCATCTATAGCAATAAAAACAAAAAGTAGAAGAAACAAAAAAAAAATGGTTTCACATTCAGTATCACCGCAGAGTACATACCAGCACCCAAATAATAACACCAAAGAAAACAAAAAAGAAACTGATAATAATCGCACCTGTTGATGCGCTTTACATCGCTTGTGCAGAGAAAGCACCCTCCTGTAGGCCACTCCACTTCAAATATCACATATTCCCTAATTTTTTGCGATCGACCTGTTGAGTTCTCGGCGGTGGAGACGATCGCAACGATTTACACCTGCGATAAAAACAAAGAATGCGCTCCGCGCTCTCCCTTAAGAGTAATTGTTCACGAGCCGCGTCACGTTCTGCACGCTCCAGGCGAAGAATGCGCATGCATCTAAACCAATTTTGAATCATCACAACAGCCTCTTCCATACTGTGCTCCGTTATCGCAGTCGACTTGAAGTTCCTCTTCTCCGCCATGTCCACTCTTGGGGCCTTTGCCGCAGCCATGACACTCCGTCGCCAGGCCCGCTTAATGACTGTGGCTGCGTCGACACGGCGAAGATGTTGGAAGAGCGCATCCGTCAGTTCCCGTTGCTGTCGCGCCAACTCCCGACCCCGTGCACTACGAAAACGCCGCTGAGTCCACAGTACCAACCGCAGAAGCGACTGGTTGAGTCGATGCATGGTCTGTCGGGCAAATAAACCTGAAGTGACGCGTTGCAACAACTCCGCCTGCTCACGAAACCGCAATATGCGCTCCCGACGACAAACAATGATTCCCTTTAGAAAATGGCACACTAGTTTTGCAGCAAACTGCGACGTCAACTGTTCCCTTTCTTCCCGCCTCGTCGCACGGAGATGACGCAAGCGCGATCGGGCAGCAGACGACCGCACAAGTCGTTGAATGAGAAGAACGGCCTCAGTTTGTCGACGAATCCTCGCACGCGTTGCACATCCCCTCCATGTAGCTTGCAGCATAATTGCAGCCGCCTGCAAACGGTTACGACGTAGCTGCTCAAAAACTTCTGGGAAACGAATAATCCTCGCCAACTGCCTGCCACAGTAACCACGATAAACACGCTGTATCGTCGTAGCCGCGTACTCCTTTACCTCACAGTCACTATCCATTTCCGCCTTTTTTCGCGCCCTTCGTGCTATCGCTTTGGCCTGTAACTTCGAGAAAACAAAATTCAACGATCGCCATGTACTGTTAAAGTTATCCCCGGTGTTATTTAATTCATCCGTCATCACTCGCAGGGCGGTACTCCATGCGCGCATGCTCTCCTCCTCTACCCGCCGAGCTTCCATGAACGCGAGACGTCTTGCGTATCGTCGTCGTGCTGCAACTCGCCTGGCCCGGTGGCAGCGGTACGCACACTGAATGCGAAGAGCAGCATTCTCATGGCGGTGTGTGTGATGTCTCCACTTCCTCTCCATCCATTCCTGCAGTTCATTGCTTTTACGGTAGTCGCTGATAATTTCTGTTGCGAGGGTCGGTGCCCGTTCCACTGCGGCTGACTTCCCGTGCTTGGCCTGTATCTCACCATTGGAAAATACACCCCACAACAATCCCTGTTCAATTTGCTTATCCAATAACTCCGTGGGTAATTCCGGTTGCTCCTTCTCACGGGGATAGGCCGGGGTGGATTGCAACGACATATCATCCCGTGAATTCCCGGAAAGCACATCAAGGTCAGCTTTCCACTGCAGCTTCTTTGAGGCAAAAAACTTCCTCCATTCACCCGCCCGTTCCTTATCTCGAAATTGAAGCTCCTCACGCACTTCGTCAGGCGATGCGTTTGAGTGTTCACGTCGCCAGAGATAAAATGCGGCATCATCTTTGTCTTTAATTGAAAGGGGAGATAAAAGCTTCAAGGAATCGCCACTAAAAGGCCTGTTCGCAGGTGCTTCATAAGATTTGCTGGAAATATGCCTTATTACTGAAGGAATATTCTCCACCGTTGTCAAAAAGTGGCCGTCGGCGTTGTGTCTTATGGCAAAAGAAGATGATGCGTCCAGTATTTTTCCAACTGTATCCCAGGCATTACTGGCCGAATCCCTTCTCGACGCCATCAACGTGCTGTAAACACCATCCTCAACAAATGAAGGCTGAAAGGTGTGGTACTTCTTCATCTGCTGCAAAAACCTCTCAAAAATGGAGTGCTTCTTTGCAGTTGCATTCGTCAGATACCGTAAAGTATCCTGGCTCGTACGGCTGGGAACTATATTCGTCATTGTGGTGGAGTCACTGCAGAAAAAAACACGTGTCATTTGCCGAGAGTGTGTGTTGCAGTTGCTTTGGGTAGCGCGGGAGAAGTCACTGCGGGGTCCATTGGCGCTAGAGCGAAACCCACTGCCATATGACGCGTGTGACCGGCTGCGTTGCATCCCTGTGGAGGCCGACTGCGCAGATGGCGGTGCAAAAGAATGAGGCATATCCTCAATGTGCATGTGGGCCAACTCCCCTGTGAGTATAGAAGGGATGAGAAACAAAAAATTTCGTCCCTGCAAAGGAATAAACACGTATACTGACAGAGAAAAAAACACAAATGTCAGTTTGTGCGTATGCAATTTGAAGAGCAAGAGAAGAGCAAACACATTTAAAAAAAAAAAAAGAAAACAGTTAAAGGTCACATACAAACAAACAAAAAAAAAATGAGAGAAACAGACAGACGCAGCGTAAAATAAAAGATTAATCCACAACATGAGTTCAAATATAACCTTCAACGCACGTCCTCTCGCCTTTCCCTCCACATCCTGTTGGGTCTTTCATGCCGACAGAGAGAAACAGAAAAAAAAATATATTCGTGCAAACACAAATCAAAACGCTCATTGTTCTCTCATTCTCCCTTGCTCCTTCAGCCACTTCTTATACGACTCACGTGGTTCCCAGGGCAGCGACTCGATGTCAACATCCCCACGTCGCCGTCGCAGCACCTCCTCTAGGGAAGCCGCATTACAACCCCCCCATTTCGAGGCCTTTGTATACAGCACCAGGTCATCAACGCACTGCTTCAGCGTTGGCTCACAGAAGCCAATAATGCGGGTATTGATGGCCCGTTTCGTGCAGTGCATGTAATCCCACAGTGCGCTCGACAAGCTCGGTGGTTTGGTGCTGAGACGCTCCTCCAGTGGCGCAAAAAACGGTGACTCACCCACCATCTTGGGGCTTAGGAAGCTACACGATAATTCCACAAATGACCAAGTTGGCATTGATGTTCTGCACGTAACAGGAAAAGAAAAACAAGAAAAAAAAAGGTAAAAAATTATGGTAGCAATGTGAGAAAACACACAAAAAAAAACACACATTCGTTTTTGTCATTTTATATTTTTCTTTTATTTCATACAAAAAGTGGTCATGATGCTAATAAAAAAAAAAAAAAAGTGTATTCCTTTTATTAAACGTGGTCCTCGTAAAAGCCACGGGTTTAACGTTTTTTGTTGTTTTTTTTACTATTTTTTTTATTTATGAGCCCCGCTGCCACCGTGGATTCTCTTTATTTTACTGCATTTTGCCTTTCAGCGGTGTGTTCCTGCTGCCTAAAGTCCACACTTGTTCCATCCCTTCCAGGCGCCTCCTGCGTGTATTGCATGCATGTATGCGGGTGTGAATCGCACATTTCCTCCGTGTCCCTCCCTTTGCTCCGAGCCCCAGGGCCATGCAGACACACACAGACAGAAGTGCAAAAAAGGAAAAAAAGACAATTGGATTGCACGACAATCAGGTCAAGCCTTCCACCCGCGACGAATGCGGAATTTAATGTCCTTCTTTTTGTTCTCCTTGCCGCGATTTGACCGGTCACTGGCAGACTCCTTCAGTTTCGCTCCCACGCGTCGTGAACGTTTCGTCATGTTAAACAATTTGCCTCGCTTTGCATGCTCCGAGTGCGTGGCGTTGAGTTTGCTCTTCTTCTTCTTGCGGGCCTCAAACTTGGAGCGGGCCCGCCGCGCCTCCTGCGCTCGTGCAATTTTCTCCTCTCGATCCTCCTCTCGCTTCTTCTCTGTGAAGTGCTCGATGTCATGCGACGAAAGATCCGCCGACACGCTGTGAATGAGTCCTTGTCGCCTCTTCTCCCGTGCCTCGTGATCCCGCAGTTTCCCGCGCAGCGAACGATGACTGCCCTTCTGAGCCTGAAGACGGCGTATGCGCTCGAAGTCCGCGTCGCTGAGAAAGCGTTGAGCAGAAGCTGGAACCGTATAGGCCGCTGCTGATGATGGGGAGGCCAGCCGCTTGGAAGCCGAGGATGCACGCTGCGCTGGGCGCCTGGAATTCATTTCTGTGTCCTCAAACCACTCCATTTCCTCGTCGTCTTTGTCATCATCGACGCCCTCTCCTTCGTCTTCCTCTTCTTCTTCTTCCTCCATGGACTCTTCTTCATCGTCGTCAATTTCCTCCTTCTCCTCAACTTCCTCATCCCACTCCTCCTCCGCGAAATCATCATCCTCATCACTATCCTCCATTTCCTCTTCCTCCACGCTGGCAGTGTCTCCCTCAGCACCACACGGCTTGCGGGGGCCGTCATCTTGCGGCACGGTGGAGCTCCGGCACGAGCCGCTGCGGTCCCGGCTCACCTCCCCACCAGTGCCCAAACTCAAGACATCGCTATTTGTGTCGGCCTCGCCCTTGGACCGTTTCAAGGGCGGCTCATCTACCGCGCCGCCCACCGGCACAAGTTGTGGGCACTTCTCGTTTTCGGCATCACTACCGCTGCAATCTGAGGCATCGACAAAAGTTCCCTCAATGCCATCTGGATCACAGTCGCTGCTGTCTGTCACCCAGGTGCCATCGCTGTCATCACTGTCGTCTTCATCACTATCATCAGAGCCGCAACAAAAGGAGTGCTCATCCTTCTCATCATCCATCGCGGGGTAGAGTAACTCAAGACCTGGAACGTCGGTATACACGTGCTCCTTGCCATAAACAGGTCGTTGTTTCTCCCCCATTCCAGTACCCCCATGGCCAAAACGCAGTTTTGCAGGCAACAGCTCAGGGTATACGTCACGGTAAAGTTGAATAAGCGCACGTGCCGCCATAATGACGCCTCGGTCGCCCCTCTGCGATTTGTACTCTGTCAGGTCTTTCAGCAAATCCGCATTCATGGCCAATGGCTGTCGTTTACAGATCTCACGAATGGTGTTGAGGCCGATGGTTATCGCATCTGGTGAGGAGCGATCCGAGACAAAATGATTTGCAATGGCCTTCACAAGCGGTTCAAGAGCATCCGGTGGTACCAGGCGGTGAACACACATAACAGAAAGCGCCAACAATTGCGTCACGTGCAGTTGCGAAGGTTCCATATAACGCTCAAGAAAACCGTAGAGCGGTAGATGCACCACCTCATGCTCTAAAATGACTCGAGCAATAACATTCAGGTAGAGAATGCGAACCTCAAAGCGCTCTGTAGTCTTCTGAAGACGTGCGAGTAGACGTTCCACAAATTGATGTGGATTGCGGAGAAGTCGTATTGGATCTACATGTTGTTTCGCTAGCAACTCCTCCGCCTTCTCTTCCTTGTTGTATTTCTGCCTTATAGAGTTCATTTCCCGCTTAAGAATGCGCTCTCGTTTGCTCGTCTTCTTGACAATCTTTAGTTTCTGTTTCATCCTTGAAATCTCACGACCGGGATCAACCGTCTCGTCGTCGCCGTCATCTTCATCGAGAGATGTAATCTTTGGCATCTGCAGAAGAAAAAAGCGAAGGGCGGTACGAAGAATAGGGGTGTGCCGCGTGAAGCAAGCCTGCGTCAGCACCTCCACTGTCCGCTCATTCGCCCAGACACGGCGGCGGTACAAGTCGATCATAACCATCTCGGCGCAACGCGCCTGCACCGGATCATCCTCTGTCATGACAGAAAAAAGAAAGTTTTGTGCCATCTTGTTCACCTGTGCCCCATTCTTTGCTCCGGGCATGTTTACCTTGCGCACATCGCTCACAATGTGGGAGAGAATAAGCCGGCGGAGGTTCTTCTCACGCTCCTGTAGAAGCTGAAAAAACAGCGGGAAGGAACGCACCGCAGAAACAATATTTTTGGATCGTAGTAACGCGAGGGACTTGACGAGAGCCAAGCGCAACTCCGGCGTCATGGCACTTCCCTTATATTCCTGCAAAAGCCTCAGTACCACCTCCGCCACCTCCGCCGACTCGGCGGGGTAGCAATGGCACACATGGCAGATGTAATTCAGCACCGTGATGTACTGCGGATTTGTTGCCTTCTGCGTCATGATGGTTTTGCTCAGGGCCTTAAAGTGATCGAGCTGCGAGATAAACTCATCGCGGTAAGCCTCCGGATCACGGCGGGTGCAATTCTGCAGCAACAGCAGCGTCCCTCGAAACGCCGGCTCCGTCATAGCCACCTCTTCTCCCCCTCACTACTAATCCCCAACAACAAAAAGACCGCAGACTCCTGCTAGCCAAAAAAAAAAAAAGGCAAAATAAAATAACAAATAAATAAAAGCGTATGCATACACACACACACACGCACACACGCACAAACGCACACACACAATATATCAAAAACAGAAATTAAGGAAAAAGAAAAAAAAAGGATCAAAAAAGATAATAATAATAATAAAAAGAAATGTTAGGGTAAAATAACGATGCGTCCTGTCAAAAAAAAAAAAAGGAAAAAAAAACAGAACTTAAAAAAAATTTATCATTTTATTTTTATTGTTGTTGTCTCTTCCTACTTTTATTCTTCCTCGTCCTCGTGTGTCGGCTGCTGCGCTGGCCACAACTCCCCTCCCCCCGCCCTCAAAAGAATACACACGGGGAGTAGTCATTGTCCCCTAAAAGATGAAATGTTCTTCTTACTCCTTCTTTTGTCACTTCTGTGCGCTTCACTCATTCCACCACACGCTTGCATACCCGTTTCTCCTCTGTGCATCGTTTTTTTTTTTGTTTTTTGTTTTTTGTTTTATAAAAGAAGCAAAGACTAAAAACAACAACACCACCAACAAAAACAGCTGCCACAAGGAACGTGGCCGCCGGGGGAGGGGGGAAGTTACAAATGACTATTGGTGCTGTTAAGGAGCGGCCCCTGGCCATCCAAACTTTTCCACCAGTCATTTGCAAACAAATCGTCGGGATCCAGTTTCTTGCGGAGCTGCAAGAACTCCTCCCAGTTCTGCCCATACGCCTCTTTTAACTGCGCTGGCCCCCATGTGTAGTACTTCGCCCAGTGCGGCCTACCGCCCATTGCTGTCATGGCGTCGCTGAAAGCCTGATAGTACCGCAATGTGTCTCGCGCGTAAAGAAGATATGGTCGATACATGACGATGCCAATCCAGCATGTCTTTCGCCCATGCGCGGGTGAAAGAGCCGTTTTATCGGCATCTGTAAAACGAAACTCAACGGGGAAATGAACGCTAAAATTCTCGGATGCGATCATTTCACGAAGGAGAGCAAACGCTTCAATGGCTTTACTAGCATCAACGGCCCATTCGCAAGCCCATTGCTTAAAAAGGCAATCAAATGTAAAGCACTCAATTGGAGTTCCATACTGTACTTCTGATGCGGAGTAAAAGATCTTGCGGTAGGCGCGGTTGATGTACGGCTGCATCTGCGGGTAGAAAGTCGCGGCAGCAAGAGCCGCCTGAACAACGCCGTGTCGCAGCCAATTTCCCTTAAGAGCTTTGCAGAGTCGAGTGTACGGACGCTTCTGCTCCTCCAGCCATGTCTGATATTCCAAAGCGGCATCGCTTGAGGGCCTCACCACGTTCAGCGATTGCGGTATTTTACGCGATGTCGACGATGACGATGTGTTCGTATGAGAAAAAAAACCCACTCCACCCTTCACTGCAGCGCCTTCAAGACACACGCCAATGGACTCGTAGCAAAACTCTGTATTTGGCATCCAAAAGAAGCGGTAAAACACGGAGTCGGAGACACGTCGCTCGAGTATGTCACCCTCAATTAACTTAAGGAGTGGAACTGGTGAGCTGCGAAGTCTCCATATTTGCAGCTTCTCCGCCTGTATCGTCACCTGGACAACAACACCCAGCATGCCGAGATGGCACGCCGCAAGTGAAAGCTCATTGGGAGTGGACGCGTCAAACTTGCGGAGTTCACCGCTACCGTCCACCAACACAATTTCAACGACGTAGTCTGAGAGGGACCGTGTGTTGGTGCCACTGCCATGTGTTGCCGTGCCGATGGCTCCAGCAATCGTCGTGAGTACATATGACGGAACACATCGAAGCATTAGGCCATTTTCGCCCAGCTTCTCAAACAAATCAAGCAGCAAGACCCCACCCTCAGCCACAATTTGTTGCCGCTCACAGTCAACGGAGAGAATGCGATTAAGGCGGTCCATGTGAATGAGATGCTCATCGGTAAATGTGCACGCATTGGGGCTCTTTCCGGCCCCAGCAACGCGGCATCGCTCACCCGCCTGCTTCAGTCGCCTCATTAACGCCACAACTTCCTCAATGGAGCCGGGGTGGTGTTGCTCGCGCGGGTGGCACTCGCCGATGCACGCCATGTTTGTCCAGGCGGGCCGCATGGAAACGTCACAACGCATCTGTGTTTGCTTTCTAAAGGCAAAAGGCAATAAATAAATAAATAAAAGAAGAGAAAGAGATTGTAGAAGGCAAATAAAGCAACTGGTGGGCCACAGCGTTGGAAGACTGCGGGAAGTATGCATGTGTGCATGAGGCAGAAAAAGCATCAACAGGAAGAGAACAGAAAATTTGCAACGACAGGGGGTAAATGATATATATATATATATATATATATGTGCCGTGGCGTTCAGCAGCAACCGCAAAGTTGCAGGAGCAGCGGCAATAAAAGAAGAAAAAGGAAATAGAAAGAACACCACCACCGCCATGGCACCCATCCTTTTATTCCTTCAAACGCCCAATGCAGTACTTCTCCAACAGTTTCACCGTCGATGGGGGGTGAAACTGTGAAAAGAGAGCCGCTACGTCATGACCACCGGCCCCCTCCATTATCAGCAACCCACCAGGATGCTCATGCACGAATGAACTCACATCGAGCAGATTCCCATTGATCACCAGCCAGAGGTCGGTCTCAGACGCATGACGTGCAACCTCCTCCCGCGGAAAGTACGCCACATTTGGGCAGCGAAAATCATCCAGCGAGGCAAAAAACGTCTGCGCATCTTTTCCAGGTTTTGTATCCGCCACGATCTTCCGGTTGTCGTCATAAGGAGGCAAAGCAAGCAACAAAAAAAACGCCACCATAATACTCACAACAGCAGTGAAAAGCATCATCTTACTGCATGATCTCCTCTCTTGAACCATCGCCGTGTGTGTCTGCGTACAAGACGCCCCCCTTCTCAAACACCAAACACAAATAACTCCTTTCGGATCTTTCCACGTTTCGTTTCGTGTAAAAGTTCCGTCCTTTGTTGTCTGTGTTTGTGGGTTTCTTGTTTTGTGTGCCAAGAAAAGGGTAAAAATAAAGTGCCACGTGCAACTTCCAAGCCACACAAATGCAAGTACACACACACACGTAAATTAAAAAAAAAAAACGGGTTTGCTTTCAAGTATGAAAGAAATGAGGTCCAAGTAAAAACGTCAAAAGCAAAAAAATAATCAATCATTTTGAGTATTGTTTGCGTAGAATGCACGAATAAGAGAATCAGCCCCAGCAGGGACAAGGTTGCTGATGTCCGCAGCATGATCTGCCGCAAGTGCCTCACGGACGGCACTTGAAGAAGTCTCATTGGCAAATATTTCCACCTCCATGAAACGGTAAGCGGCTAGATCGAGGGTTAGAAGCCTCGTACAGTCGTTTTCCGTATCCTTCACATTTTCCCGCAAGAAAGAACCATGCCGACGCAACATATCCTCACACCCCACATTCGTGCATGCTCGTCGCACAACCATCACGTCAAAATTATCCAACAACTGTTTAAGAAGTTTTAATGACCAGCAGCCGGGCCTCAAAAAAGAGGCAAACAAATCGCTCCCACAAACAAACACGACACTCACAGGGTGCTGTCGCACCCACGCCAACTGTGTCGCATTAGGCGCCGCATCGGTTTCATACCACCTCTGCGCGGCCTTCTGAAGGTGATCCAAAACGTGCACTGTACGGACATACATCGGCTGTAACCCCTCCCACTCGTCAACGGCAAGTGAAGGATGATCGGCCAGTGCCGCCTTGCATATCGCTGCCCGCTGAGCAAAAGGGCGGAGATCTTCTTTTCCATAGTGATCATTAACAGGTGAAAAAAAGCCACCAACAACTACAACGTTGGAGGGGGCATCCGTCGCTTCTGTATGATGCATCAATGCGTCGCGGGCCGCGTCGTACATGGCAATGTGTACCAGATGAATGGGATTGAAGGAGCCACACATTGCCACAAGAGCAAGACGCCTAACCACCGTCACATCGATGGCGCTCCATGGTGTTAACTTCAAACCACTGAAACGATAAGATGCCGCTGTGTCATCGCTCATGCTCCTACGCTACGCACGACTAACTACCCACACAAGCAATAGACACAAATCCACAAATATGCATATAAATATATTTGTTTATTTAACTCAAAGGGGAGAAGCAACAGTACACACACAGAGAGAGAAATATATATATATATGAATATTGAAAGCACACAGCTACAAAGCACAACAAACAACAACAAAAAAAAAAAGTTCACGGCAATCGATATTTCATGAATGCACCCACATAACAAATCAACATTCCCCCTCTCAGTGAAGAGCATCGATTAATTCATCTGGAAGCACCTGCGACGAGGAAACAGTACCGTCCATGTAGGAATGATACTCCGCCTCGCGTCCTTTTGGAATAAAAGGAATGCCGAGCTGGTAGGCCTCCACATTCTTAATATACCATATCTCTTTTGCAAGAATAAAGTCATCCAGATCCTGCCGCTCCCTTGCGGCAGACATATAAGAACGGGTAATTTCAACCATCACTCCCGTCGCTCCTGCTGCAACAAGCAACGGCATACGATACACTGTGTGCAGGGGCAACACAATGCAGCCTGCGGCGCACAAAATACCAAGCGGCACGGCACCATTGAACTCTAATACTTTTGCCATCCATGCGGCTGTCAGCTCCTTCTCCTCCGGCGACACCTCATCGTAGTCGTAGAGGCCAAAGTCTGTGATGGGATGGTAGTACTGCCGCGGCCGAACGCGGGAGGGATGCACCGGCACGAAGCCAATGCGCTCCCAAAAAGTGTACGGGTCTTCTTCCGGCCCTGGAAGCACCTGGTCACCGCCACTTGTGCGGAGCAGCAGCGCTGGCGCGGTTTCAACACGCACATTTCTCAGGTTGCCACGCCATGTGGACGCCTCCCGTTGATCCCGCAACTGCGATGCCGCGTCCATCTCGTCGCTGTACACAACCCCAGGGACACCCACCCGGCCACGGAGTCGTCGCCAGACTCGGTCCCACATCAATGCCGCACCGCACAAAAGCAGACACTACGATCAATCGTCGCAGCAGCAGCGGCGGCCTACGCGAGTGCTTCCCTGTGCCTCAGCCTACCACCGCAAGTCGCACCAGGGTAAACAAACCAAAATGAGCAGCAAAACTCAAAAAGAAAAAAAAGAAACACGCCATTCAACCAACAAGAGACCAATGAATTTACACACAAAAAGAAAAACAAGCAAATCCCACACACACACACACACACGAACACACAAATATTTATATAAATGCATTTAAATATAACCTGACAAGTAAAGAAGGGCAGTGAGAATCATATTCACTGCTACTGCGCGCAACCAGGGAAAAAAAAAAAAGAAAAAAAAGCAAGAAAGCGAGAAGAGGGAACTGATAAAGTAGGAAAAAGTCAGGAAAAGCATCGCACAGACGCAAAGAAAGATTTAATAAAATAAAAAAAGAAAGGGGGAAAAAAAAAGCCTCAATAACAAAGACACAAATAAAAAAAAACAAAAAAAACTAAGATATATAAATATAGATAGATAGTTATATATACGTGTGTATATCTATGAGAGTGTTAATAATGAGAAACAAACGCAGCCACGCATACTGAGCAAGAAAGAACAAAAATCAACACCATTGGCCATTGTAGCATCTCACGCAAGATACAACGGCATAAACACCAAAATCAGTTAACCAATAATAATAATAATAATAATACCGCACTATTTGTTGTTGTTGTTGTTTCCTTTTCCCCCCCTCCTCCTCCTCCTCCTTCTTCTTCTTCTTCTTCTTCTTCTCCGTTTCACCATCCCACTGTAATCATGAACGCATCTTAAAAATTATTTATTTATTTAATTCATTCCGTTTTTTTTTGTGTGTGTGTTTTGTTTTGTTTTGTTCTTTCCCGATCATGTCTCCGCCCCAACCCTGCGTGCATGTAACACGAGGAGTAGAGTCTACCCACCCCAACACACACACACACACAAAGAGAGAGAAACAGAGAGGGGGGGGGGGGGAGAAAAGCACGCATAAATAAAAAGTCATTCACCATAAAAATCCTGCCTAAAGCCAACCGCACACAAAGTGCAAAGCCAAATTGTTAGGAAAACGGAAGAAGCATCCCAATCATCGCCACAGTCGTCCCTCCCCTAAAGCCCTACGCCACACCACACACACACACACACACACACACACACATGTCAAGAGCCTCCATCCCCGCTCCCTTTTTTTTTTCTTCTTTTTTTTTTACTCCTCCAGCAGTAAAAAATTCCTGTTCAAAATGAAGTCCCAATTTGAAAAAAAAAAAAAAATTTTATAATAAAAATAATAATCACAAATAAATATAAATAAATAAATAAATATCCTCATCTTTCTTTCTTTTATTATTTCTTCTTATTTATTTATTTATTTATTTTAAATTTCACTTTATGTTTCCGCCCCTCCTCCCCTCTCCTCCACCTCAAAGCATCGCGTCGCCCCCCCTCGCGCATCATCATCCTTCCAACATGCCCACATGTAAAGCGCACAACCAAACAACGCAGTCATAAATAAAAGGATACATAAGAAACGTTCCACCATCCCCACCTCTTACAGTCCGGCCACACACACACACACACACAGAGAGAGAGAGAGAGAGAGACAAAAAAAAAAAATTCCACGCAAGAAAACTTTAATTGCATGAACGCATTTAATGCCTCTTCTGGAACGACCGTTTTTTGTTGTTTTTTTGCTTGTTATTTGTGTGTGTGTGCTCTTTTTTCCCTCTGTCTTGCACAACCAAAAACATGCCCACATCCCCAAGGCTCTCTCTGGCCAAAGTGCCACTCGTAATTAATCCTTTCACACCCCACGTAAGTATCCCGCTGTCTGAGCTCTCCCTCCATCGTCGTTCACCCACAAACAGCTGTCCCTCTGCCATGCATATATTTATATAATTATTATTTTGTTGTTATTTTGATGTGTGTGTGTGTTTAAGCAGTTCGTTCCTCCCTCCACCCCCCCCCCCCCCCCCCCCCCTTTTTTTTTTTTTTTCTTCTTTTTCTTTTTTTTCGTTTTTTCTTTTCCTCGACTCATTTTCTTCTCCAGAATGAAATAAATGCAAAACGGCAGAAGAAACACTCAAAGAAAAATAATAAAATAAAATGAAGAAATAAATAAAAATGACACCACGGCAGTCCGCATTGCGCAGCAGTTCTCTCTCTCTCTCTCTCTCTCTCTCTCTCTCTCTCTCTCTCTCTCTCTCTCTCTCTCTCTCTCTCTCTCGCAGCACGCATAAGTCGAGAAGAAAAACCACAAAAAAAAAAGGGAGAATAAAACAACGCACTTTTCTTTTTTTTTTTTTTTTTGTGGTTCTCCTCCTCTTTGAATCCTTCATTCTTTTGATTACTCCACTACCGTTTACTCGTTTTTCTCTTCTTTTGTTTTTCTTTTGTTTTATTTTTTCTTTTGTTTTTTTGTTTTTTTGACTTTTTCGTTTGGGAGGGAGAGTGGAAGGGAAGTTAATACCAATGGCTTTTCTCTGGTAGGCGGGTTCGTAAGCACTATCATACCATGACCCCCCACCTCCGTCTCCTCCTTTCCTCTTTCCACATACACATACACACATTATATATATATATATGTATGTCTGCAAAAGAGAGAGGGGGGACGGAAATAGGGATGGGAGCGGACAAAACATATCCTGTCTTTCTTGTTGTTGTTATTTTTATTGTTTCGTGCACTAGTGAAATGGCAGCATTACAATTCGTCCAAAGGCACCCGCGGGGCTGCATCATCTTCTTTGCGTTTAAGTGTTATAATGGTGTCTGGCTTCACGCCGTAGTGACCCACAGACTCAAGCTCATCTTCCAGTGGTACTCCGTCGTCCACACGCACCAGCACCTGCGAGGTTGGTGGTATTTTATACACCTGATGCAAATACCTCTTGAACGTGTGTACACGAACATTCTGCCAATCGCCAAATATTTCATAGCTCTGGTCACCATGAGTAACAACTATGCGGTAAGCATTGAGTGCGTTCGGGCTAATGGAACTGAAGTTTACACTCGCGAGTGCCTCAGCTGGTAAAGCCTTTTGTGTCCCCTTGACGCTCGTGAGGGCATCGGATTGCGCAATTTGTCCAGGGGCATGGCGAAACAGTTTCCCATGGCGCACTACGTGACCATGATAACAGGGAAAGAGGCGACACGTGTGTGCGTATTTCCGTTGGTGCTTACGATCATTTATTAGAGTGCAAAGAACGTCATTTGGGCATAGTGATAAGTCTTCCCGTAAAGCACTTGCGCTACTTCCGGTGATTGTGGAGGCCCCATCGCTGGCATTTGGGCCAGTTTTACTTTGTCGGCCTTGTGGTCTCTCAGCAACAACTGGATGGCCCCTCATACCCCCATGTCCACTCATAGCCGTCGGTGAAATTTGAATAGATTGAACATCGTTTGGGTATGGCGGTGTCATTGAAAGCAACGTGGGGGAGGCGGTGAACTCTTTACCACGCAACATCGAAGGTGGGGATCCTAAATGCTGCAGTGGAATATGCACTTTTTGATGTGGAGATCTGAGAACCTTATCATTAATTGGTGTGGACATACTATCCGCAAGAGCAGGTGGCATAGAAAATCCCGACGGGGCGTAGCTACCGGAAAACGGTGGCATTCCTCTACCGCCCATGCCAACCCCACCATCATTGTCTTGTTTCACTGGAATGGGGGTGCTGGGCGCTTGTCCCGTTGCAAACCAATTTTGGTTCACATCACCATAAAACGAACTACTACTACTCCACGTGTAAGGCGGAGATGCTGAAAGAAGCGCATCACCCGCCCTGTTACTAAGCGTTGGGCTTTGCAGGCGATAACGCGCCTGTACATTCACAAGAGGGGAGCTTATTCCCTCCTCCCCATCATCCTGCATTTTTCGTACCACCAACTGCATTGGACTTGATGCCATGCGCCCATTATTGTTACTCTCCGTTTGCTGGTGGTTGTTACTACTACTTCTACTGTTGCTTTTATTGTTGTTGTTGTTGTTGTTGCCGAACCTAGCGTAGGGGTGGTGGGTGCGATTGCCGGTGCCGCCTCCATTCTTAACGTTGTTGCCGTAAACAGCCTTTGTAGCGGGTGCGCCCCTCTCACTACTCTTCGACGCCATACTCCCCCTCTTTCCGTATTGTCGTCCCGCAACGCTTCTCGCTCGCTCGCTCGGTCAATATCCACAGTTGTGAATATGCCCCTTACTAAATCGCTTTTTGCTTTTGGTTTTTTGTTTGTTTCCGTTTGTTGTTTTATTGCTTGTTTTATTGTTTGGTTTATTCCTCTTATGTTTGTTTGCTTTTTGCGGTTCTCTTCCGTCACTTCCCTCTTTTTTTCTTTTTTCTTTCTTCTTGTTTGTTTGTTTCTTGTCGCCTCCTCCCCTTCCGTCGCCCGCCTCCCCTCTACTCTCCTACGAGGCAAACAAAACTGCGTGCCTGCAGGTGTTGTTGGTTCCTTCGCTAACGCGGGTGTGTCAATGCCGTCTCGCAGGTCAGGCACAAACGAAAGCACGTGGCAGAATAAATAACTCTGGCGCCGTAAATAAATCCAGCCACAAACTTGAAACAAAAAAAAAAATGTAAAGAATGCGGAGAAGAACAAAGAAACATCTGGCACAAAAAAAAGAAACATGGAAGAACGGCCAAATCAACTCTGTGTGTCATTCAAAAGAACAAAAAACAAAAAAAAAAGTTGCACAAAAAATACACACACACACACACACACACATTTGGAAGAAGGTAAGTTCCGACAGTGCGCATTGTTTTTGTTTTTTGTTTTTTTCTTACCTCCATTGAAGTATACGCCTCATGTTGATACGGTGAGGAGCTGAAATAATTTATCCAGCCCGCATGTGACCAGGTTGCTGTTAAACGACAGGTGGACGCAGACCGCCAACGTCAAAATCCAAGAGACAGGGGTGTTGTAAGACATGCTGACAGAAAATTGATCATTTGGCACGTGAACGTTAATGTCCTCCTTCAAATTGGCCCGAAGAATGCTCTCAATAGCTTCTACAATTCGCCGCATAAGCTCCTCCCTGTTGATACCGGCCAAACCCAGAGTGAGCCACGCTGTCACGCTGTCTAAACTGCCGTCTTCTCCCACCAATGCATTCATTTGGGCAAAACAAAAACTCTGTGTGCGCTGCAATGCGTCCCATCGTGTTGGGTGACACCGCAGCTGCAAAGATTCCCCCTTCTTCGGGAACAACAGTGCCATAAGGGCTTGTGTCGTCGTGATTCCAGTCGCCTTCGTTTCCGGTTTCATGGCAAATGCATACTCCAAGACATGTTTGCGATACGCCTGTGCAAATTGTTTCAGAGAGCGCCTGGCTATGCCCAGCCACGCCAATGCGGTATCGAGAAGCAGGCATAAATCATCGATATTCTCTTTTTCCAATAAAACGCGGTTCATGTTGTCGATCCGATCCTCATTCTTGGACCAGTTAGATGACAAGGACATGAATGGAGGTGTCTTTCCCTTCTTGAGTCGTCTTACCCACCTCGGAAGAACGATATCCAAGACAATTTTAGTAAGAAGTTTCTTTGTTGTAAGGAAATAAGCGTGCCGTACGTACTCCAAGGCGGCCTGATCCACAAGAAATGCCACAAAGTCTTCAAAGCGCATGCCGTGCTCCACAACCCAGCTACCCTCGGCCCGTACCAGCAACTTAAGGTAATTAACAATATCGGCATCCAGTCTATGGGAGCAATGCCTGAGAAATGCAAGCTTACTGGAACCAAGGACATTCATTTCGCACGTGTTTAGAAAAAGCTCAAAAGAAGGAAAAAGTACAACGGTGTCAATTGTCGCCGCAAATTCCTGCAGAAATGGAATGGCAACATAAATCAGTTGCGTCAGTGAACCAAAAACCTGCCGCAAGATGTCTTCCACCTCGCTGTAATCATCCGCGGAAGGATACTGCCGGCCGCGCTCGGAAGAGACGTCACTCTTTGCCTTGTAGTACGAGGGATCGAATAGACATTGCTGCAGCAGCACCGGCAGGGAGGAGGGGTTTCCTGTATCAGACACTCCCGGCATCGTGGCAGCCGCCGCAGTGGTGGCGTAATAACTGCTTTTGGCGTCCGCATCATCCCCAACGAGCCATGTCAAGTCGCCCGCCGCCGGGGATGCCGCCACTCCCATTGCGGTGGTGGTGGTGGTGGCAGAACATGTTGAAGTACCCTTCATCCTACGAAGAATTGCATCGTGCTCGTGCCTGCCGAGGCGGACGAGAGAGAGGCCAACGGCAAAGCGACCCAATATACCGACCTGTCGCTCCATATGACTCAGCCGGGAGTCCCAACGCATTTTTCTCGACGCCTCCAAAGCAACGTCTGCGACACGATCCGATTGTTCACGCAAGAGCGAGTCGACAGTAAGTGCCTCGTACTCCTCCGCAACGCGCAGCTGGTTGTGGAGCGTCTCCAACGTATCGGTGAGGCAGGCAATGCGATCCATTTCCAACGCCTTTTCCGCGAACTGTTGCTGCTGCCGCTCCTCCTCGACACGCACAGCGCGCCGGATCGAAGAGATCTTCACGCGGTCGGCCACACCCTCCTCATCCAGTGAGTGCAGTGTAGACAAATGTTCACGCTGCTGTCGCAAGCGGTCTTGTAGCTGTCGTGTGTGCTGCCAACGACGACACGAAGAAAGGAGTTCCTCCCGTGCAGCTTGTTCCTGCAACTGCAGCGCGGCGCAAGCGTCGTACGCCTCTGACACACACCGAGCGCAAAGTTTATCACGCTGCAGCATTTCATTCCAAAATGTCTGCAAAACCGATTCTGCATTCGCCACAAGTGTCAGCGGTCCCAATAACAGCATAAATTCCTGCAGAGACAATCGCTCAGCGCCAACGTCAGTGTTCATTTTGGTTATTTCACGCTTAAAATTGTAAAGCGTCTCCGCAAGCTCCTCACGTGTAGCTGCAAGGTAGTCACAAGCGACATGACGCAGTGCCACCATCGCCGTCTCATCCGTTATCGAAGGCATTGCCGCACGCCCCAGCCAGTTGCTCATAGTGGAGGCGCCAGTTCGCAATTCAGCCCAAACCTCCGCTTGTGAGAGCTCATACTGCAAGCATGCATCCCAACAAAGCAACGTGGGTGACCGTCGCTCTGCCATTACCCCGCGGCAACGATACGCCCTTCGGAAAGAAAAAAAAAAATCCAATTCAAAAGGACAACCCAAAAATAAATAAATAAATTAAATAAGAACACGGTGAAAACACACATGTACACATGGACAAGTGAACACTGTAATGGGCCCACCGCAGCAACAAAAAAAGAGCAACATTGAGGAAAGCGCTTCATTCATACAGAATTTGCAGTGTTTACGTCCTCCATTTTCCCGTCACCGATGCACTCATAAATCTTTTTTTTTTTCCTTTACCCCGTTCTTCTCTGATTGGTCACGTCCTCCGCAATTGCGCCAACAAGAACCGCTTACACTTGTGTGTACAACTTCAGCTTCGTTTTGTGGCTCATTCACCTCTACTCCTCCCTGATGCCTCACACTTGTATCGGGGGGTTTGTTTGTTTGTTTGTTTGTTTTTTACTATTCATGACAGCGGCAGCACCCGTAGGCGGGAGGCATATTCGGGGGGCTCTTCCCCGTTGACAGCAGTGGGATCAACGACGTGTGCGTAGTGCCACAACGACCGATCTACCGTGGTCGTCGGCGGTATCCTTCCATGCTCAGTGGTTCCACTTATCGCGGCGCTGTGCCAAGACTTGCCTCCAGTCAACTCCGCGTGCAACATGTCTCGCTCAAGAGTCAACCTTTCAATCACCACCTGCATATTTCGGTGCAGTTCATTCATTTCACGCCTGTCCTCCGTGTCGATGGACTTGTACCGGCTCACTTCCTCCCGAAGTTGACGGTTCTCCTCCACAAGTCGCCTATAAGTATTGGCGTCCGAAACAGTAGCAGATGCGCTCGGCACAGATAAAGCACCTTTGCCATGCAAAGAAGAGGCTGAAAATGGTGACTGCGACCCTCCCGTACGGCCCCATGGCATCATATCGGTACGGGTGGATGAAATGGACATGATGTTCTCAAGGAAAATAGAGTGAAGGAACCTGGAACCGTAGTTGGCCTCGATGGTGATGGCAGCTCTAGCCCCTTGCTCCGCCTCCTCCAGTGTGCGTCGCTCCGCCGCAAGCCGCATCACCCGTTCCGCACGCAAGAGTCGTTTCAGTTCCGCCACCACAGTTGGCTCCATTGCAAGCGTGGTGATTACTCCTTCCCCCGATAACTCGGTACCCTGATGTTGACGATGATGATGATTGTTCGTACGCAGCGAGTGAATTTCCAAATCCTTCTCTCTGTGTTCCTTCTGTCGCTCTACGGTCGGCGCCGTGCGCAAGCCTTTGCGTCGTACAACTGCAGGCGACCGACAAACATCAACTGTGGCCTTCTGTTGAAAACTCTGGATGTACGGGTTGTCAGTTGGGGTGGTACTGGAGAAGGAAGTGGTCCGGCTGCGTGTTGACGACACCCTTCCGTTGTGGTGCGGAGGCACACAGCGATACCGTCCATACTCCCCTCCGTTCATCTAAAATGCACCAATTCCCGGGAAAACTGAGTGTAACTTCGATGCCGTGCTGGCCGTGACTCCGCAGCCACCGGAGTGCTGGGATATTAACCCCCGCCATACACAAAAAAAAAAAGCAAAAAAAAAAAACGCCAAACGAATGGACAGATGCAAATAAATTTTCAGCATGTCAAAAAGCAAATGTCGTGATGCACAACGACAAAATAACATGCAACGGGCAGTTTTACTTTTAAAAAAAGACGCAATTATGACGTGTCTTCTGTCAGCTGTAAGTTTACTTTTCTTTTTTTTTTTTTTACAATGCACCACACAGAAGGTGAGTACCCATGCGTTCATAGACCCTCAACCAGCCGGCAATTCAATTCGGGATGCGTCGGGCCAACACGCCGTACATACGCGGGGAGACAGCACCGTCAAAGAGTGGCACAAGTGATACAACCGAACCGCGGCAACGTCGATCCCTCCGCAGCATCTCAGAAAGAAACAAGGTGCGATCCAGCAACAGCATTGTCTCGACAAGATGACACATCCACATCCGCAGAACTGTCATACCAAGAAAAGGAGCGAAATGGGTAGCAAAAAACTCCCTCCCGACTTCGGCCGCCAACGCAACGTTCGTGTCAGAAAACAAATATTTGGTCTGTGCCTCACGGCAGGAGGAACAGACGTGTGGCTGCCATGTGTATGGTGGCTTCTTCGCCGCCGTTGTCCCGTCAAGGAAGTACTCGCGACACACCTCCACATAAAACACCTCCATCGTTATTGTGCTCTTTATTTTGGCAATTCGACGCAGGAATGCCGGCTCCAAGTGCGGCACCTCAGCAAAGGGACAACAGCGGATTGCCGCCATCGACGTGGCTGTTGAATTCTGCCAGCGGTCACGCAAACGGCTCCAGAACAACTTAAGGAGACTGCGGTAAAAAAGCACGCAGACAGATTCACGATGACCCTCCGCAGATACGGTGGACCACATGTCAAACGGTTGCGTGGCAAGAAGCAGAGAGAGCTGCTCCGTACTCCACCCGCGCCGTTGAAGCTCATAACTCAGTGGAAATCCAGCGTTCGTCAGCGCATGCCAGCAGCAACTAACAAGCAGCAGCCCGCGTGACGCGCTCTCCACAAAGAGACGGCATACGTTGGATCCAAGGTCGCCGCAGGGATGAAGGCCCATCATGACAACGTTGCGAAGATCTGGTACGTGCACAATGGGCATGTGTGGAGTAGCCGGAGGTATAACGCGCAGCAGCAGTGCAATTTTCATACTCCACGCATCCTCAGCAGGTGGAACACAACGCTCATCAATGAATTTTCCATCCACCTGATTTGAGCCATGGAGATACTGCAATAAAGCAAAGGCTTCCTTTTGGCTCCCATCGTCTGTAATGACAAAGTGACGATTAGGGGCGCAGTCATATCCAACAACAGTAAGGGATGTATGTACATATCGGTACAAGACGTTGCCTGGCGTATCCGTTCCATCTATCTCATCTCCTAACTGCGACAATGGTAGTATTGACTGCTGCTTCGGTTGCCTCATGGGTAAAAGTACCTCTGCGCGTGTACCACGTGGCATTTGCACATTTACTAAACAATCATACGTGTTCAAAGTGTCACGTAACTTTTCCCGCATCATGCCGTCGGAAAAACAACTCCCTTCAGATCCAAAACGTGTCCACTTCGCGGATGCCTCGTCCTCAACAGCAGCGTTGGATTTGTAATACACCTCGTCCGTGAAGAAGGTAGTGATTATTTTTCTGTTGAATGCCTCAACAGAAAGTTCGCGGTTCCACCCATCTATTGTTTCTTTCGACAGAATCCCTGAGAAATTCTTCATGTCGTCACTCTGAAGGTGACGCCGTACGTGTCGTATGATCTTATTGACTGCACTCCGCCGTGTGATGTGGCAACAAATACGGCACTGAATCTTCGTGCCATCGTTGGCTCCTTTTAAAGTTCGTGGTGCCTCCGCCTCTTCAATTTCCTGCTGCTCCGAGGCGATTGTGCCGGCAAAAATATCACAGTCCTCCAAGGAAGCTCCGTCCGAGAGGCGGACATGACCGCGCAGGACGTCCACCCAGTCCATGCATGGCCCAACACGACATGCCACCGTCGCCATGTGACCGCGCGGCTCGTACATCAGGTTAAGCATATCGCGGCCTCTGGATTCCCCGCTCGCCGCGTCCACGCCAAGACGTCCCTGCAGCAGAAACTCAACCCGCTCCATCGCCCGCTCCTTGTGCGCGGGGTTGCAGTCAAGCCCAACCACCTGCAGTCCATCACACAAAGCGAGTGCGCGGGAAACATAGCCTTTGCCTTCGCCGACATTCAGAACGGTTTCCACTGGATCTGGCGGCAGCATCCCACTGCCCGTTCGTGTGGCATTGCAACACGCAACAAGATCCACAATGGTGTCACGCACAACACCCACCTCGTGCTGCTTCTTTCTCCCCATACCGTGTCCAAGTACTACCTTCATCACCCGGTCGCGACGGAGCCGTTTCTTCAGTTCGTCACCCTCTTGCCCATTTTGCGGCAAAGACGACGCAAACGATGGTGTTGCAATGGACATGTTCTCTTGTGGAGTCCGGAGCGTCACACTCGCCGCATCATTCCGCGGGCGTCTCTGCCGATTCATCTGCAACGCCCTCGTTTCCAAAAAGAATGAGTGCAGACACGCCGCAGAGCCTACTGGCGGTCCATCGCGTATCATAGCGTGCAACTCAACCACCAGAGTATTGCTGTCCGACATCAGCGTTGTGAACGCCCCACAAAGATCCCGCATATATGCCACCTCCTCCTCCCGCACAGCGCTGCTGTCCGGGTACTTCAATGCCTCCGCCTTGCCGGCGGCTTCTTTCTCATCATGGAGGAGAAATATGAGAAAAAAGTCCTCCGGATGGTATTGAATAAGACGCGTTTTACAAAGAAAGGCGGAAAGCTGATCAATATACGCCTTTAGCGCCGGATGTTCCGCATCTGTGTCGTGATCATCGTATGTAAAGACACTGTACCCCTCCACATCACTGTCCGGTGGGGAAAAGGCAGGAGGCAGCGGAAGGAGCAGGCGATGAGCCATCACCACCTGTCACTGCACAAAAAAAAAAAAAAATAGCGGAAAAACGGAAATTAAATGGCAGCGCACGAAAGGCAAAATAAAAATAAAAAGCTAAAAAGCCGGTGCATGTAATTAAAAAAAAAAAAAGACGGAAACGGGAAAAAACAACCAAAGACATATTTGAAGGGGAGAGGGGAAAATGGCGACAACCTTCCATGAAAAGCTCAGGCCGGTGAGAGCTTAGGTACGGTGCGGAATGCCAGTGACAAGTGCATGTCAATGCAAAACTATCGCACATGAAATACCACCGAATTTGGATGCCGCCGCCAGCATTGCACGGGAGCGACTAAATTGCGAGGCAGAAAAATCCGTTAACCCCAAATTTCGGCTGTACCCTTCATAATTTGCCAAGAAATCAAACAATAAAGAATAATCCTCCGGGCAGCTGGCCGGATCCTGAAATTATCTATGGAAACCAAACAAGTTAGGGAAAAAAGGTTCTTTAGTTAATTGCTTCAATGTTTTATTCTAATCAATATATAGAATTCTGTGGACCATTAGCATGGTCCTTTGTCCTCAGTTAGGATTTGAAATATTATTACTTACGAAGTGGCAGACTTTGGGGTCCTCCAACCACAAGACACCGCCGCGAGGTGGGAATCAAAAGGGGGTGGGTGGGATGGCAAAATAAAATTAAAATATTATCTGGCCTCTATCGGCTCCCGGCACCTACAAAGTCGCGTTCTTCCCAAAAGATTCATACGGTAGAAAGTACCATAAAGAATGCCTTCATTTATCAGGATATACACATACATTGATTAAGTTAGCCAGCCCTCCCGCAATCATTCTTTTCACAAGCTCTTAATAAAAAAAAAGAAGTCATCGCTTTTATACCAAATATATAAATATATTTATTTTTTTTTTTTCTTGGGCCTATTGAATACTAAAAGACGGCCCAAAAATTTTTTGCCAAGGATGATATTTGGACAATTGTCCATTTTGTTCGCTTGATCCTGGCGAGCCGTTATGGCTTTGATCATGTATGCTTGTGGCACACAACACACAAATAAATAAATCCCTCAATAAATAAATTCCCACTTATTTTACAACTAATAAAACGCTCGCAATTGTCCTCAGTAACAAACGTTTCTCATTCATGATACGCGATAGATAACACTGTTTCCACTCAATGCAATAAAAAATAAAAATGCGAGATTTGAGCGGGCCCAATCGTTGTTGTTGTTGTTGTTTTTTATTGATTTGTTTTTTTGTTTGTTTCTTTTTTATGTTTCACCAGGCATGTAGGTGGTGATTTGACCTGCTTCCGTCTGCATCACCCCCCCCCCTTTCCACCCGTGTGGAATGTGGCTGCACTATTGATCGGTGGAAGCATTTGGCGCTGTACCAAGCCATGCCCGTAAGCAGTCGGTGTATGCATTATACTCCTCAAGCTTAAAGCATGCAAAACAGCAGAGATCAAACGCGGAGAAATGCTGTTTCAGATATTCGATAGTTTCGTCAACGGCAATGCGCGTGGCGGGAATTAAAGGGTAGCCGTAGACTCCAGTGCTCACACAACAGAAACCGATGCTGCGTAGACGATTTCGGTGGGCCAGAGAAAGAATAGAGCGGTAACAGCTTCGCAACTCCTCCGGTCTTTCTCCAATGGGACCCACAGTGTGCAGAACGTAACGGGCTGGAAGATTATACCCCTTCGTGAGTCTGCACTGTCCAGTATCGCATCCTTTAAAGGTGGCACACTCCCGCACAAGCAACGGGCCAGCCGCCGCATGTATCGCCCCGTCAACGCCTTTACCACCAAGACAGGTCTTGTTCGCCGCGTTCACAATAGCATCAAGCTGCAGATCCGTTACAGGACCATTGTAGAGAGCAATGTGCCGCAAGATGTCGTGCGAAGAATCCACCGGCTTCAGTTCATCCGCTGTGACTGGGTGGGGCACGGCGCAGCGCCAACCCGAAAATTTACTGCGGTCCACTGTCAGCCACTCCTCAATGGGCACGTCAAATATCGCCTTTTCGAGTGGTGAAAGCGTCGCCTCGAGAACACGGGCGCGGAAATGTGACCGCCTTCCCGCTTCACCAAAAAGCTTCGCCGGCTCAGATGTGGAGTATGTCACAAACTTGGCCGACTGTCCCCCCTTCCCCACTTCTTCCATTGCACGATTGCAGTCCTTTCCGGTGGAAGGTGTTGTCGCTTCAGTTGTTTGCTCCGGTGTTCCTTCCACTGGAGGTGTGGATTCCTTCATATTTATATATCGCTTCCTTCGCCAACCAAAACAAGTACGCACAAAGGCGACAGTGTATTAAACAGAGGCAGAAGGTGGGAGTGTGGGGTGGCACCATCGTCTCTGTGCACAGGCGGTAACTCACGCACAAAAAATTCATATTCGCGTGTACACACACTTCCGCTCATATGGCATCGCCCGTAAATAAATATACATTTAAAAAAAGAAAAAAATCACTTCGGACGCCTAATGATGCCGAAAAGGCCATAAAAAAAAAAATTTGTCGTTATGCATAAAAAAAAAAAAAAAGGACTCGGGCATAAATTCATAAGACTGGAACTAAAAAAAAAAAAAAACTTAGAATATAATCAGACAAACGCATAATCGTAATGCGCCCTTTTTGGCGACACGGTGTTGCCTGCAAAGAGAAAACGTGTTTCATTTATTCTTTGAAGGCCTCGTACACAAATCCCTCCTCCGGGTCGTACTTAAAGTCGTTGAAGCCTGTCGGGTGGGTAAACAACAACGTGCGTGCCTCCGCCCGCTGATGCGACGACTCGCTTTCAACGATGCCCATCATGTGGAGCAACGAAGCCTGCAGAATCGTCGCAAACACCTTCGAACTCGTGTAGGGATGTGTGTATTTCGATGTAATGCATACATCAATGTGATCGTTCTTGATCATGTACCCAATCCCAAAGCCGTCCCCCACAACGGAGCCAAAACCAAACAGGCTCAGGCTGCTGCTCCCGCAGTGCGAGGTGGACATGTTCCAGTGCGCACTCCGTTTGAACACGGGATTTTCAAATATGTCAGGAAGTGGAATGCCGTGCTTCACAGCTTGCAGGCGCAGGCCAAAAAGATGTCGGTCGATTCCCTGAGCCTTTTTCGCAAGTAACATATTTTCAGAATGCTGCCGCATCGCCTCACGCATCAGCTCACGCTGCGTCGGCAGTGCAGACCCCGTGGATTGACCGAAAATAGGGTCGCTGCTAGCACGGCAAAAATCCAATGCAGCGCGAGTGGCACTCCTCACACACTCCGTCCGGCCGTGCAAGAAAGTCCGCGTACTCGCCGCCTCATAAGTGCCGCAGGCTCGTCCGAACAGACGGTAATACGTGAGTTGAAAGGCAATTTGAACAAAAGCGTCCGGGGAGGCCTTGACGTGTTTTATCTGAGCCCCGCCAAAGTGACGAAACCGAAGAACCGCCGTTTCATTCACTTCAATCATCTGCTTGTAGTCTCTGAACGCCTTTTTCATAATTTCATTGACGGTGCTGTCCAACACCCACCCCAAATCCGTAATAAGCACAGAAGCACGCGTGCGTCGAGACTCGTCTGTCGACAGCTCTGCAATCAAACTCTCTGTAAAGACATGATCACAATCCGATTGATACATGCAATCCGCCAGACGCAACGTTGCCGTGCCGTCCGCGACGGAGTGCTCCCAGTTCACACCCGCCCAACCATCACGTGTCACAATAATGTTGTGTCGATCAAACCATCGGTTGGTGCCGCTGCCGTGAAGGAAGATCCGTGCGGCCTCATCCGAAGTTATCACCTCCACGCTATCAAGCGCCACGCAAATGATGGCCGACTGAATCGCTCGCAGCGTCTCGTAGTTGCCAAGATGCTTAAGGTGCTCGCGTGCCTCAAACATGCTGAACGATTCATCGTCGTCAGCAGTCCAACCGGTGGACCCGCTTCCTCATGACTTACCACACGTTCTTCAATGGAGTTTAGCGCCACCCACATATCCCTCCCACGTCACATACT